TCCTGGGGGTCGACGATCCATTGCGACTGTGAGCGCTTTTTTCTCCCCCCGATGATACCATCAAAAACCCTAATAAGGACGCGCGGTAAGGACGCAAGACCCTTGGGAGCCGAAGTTGGGATTTTTGGGGCGGCGGACGACGAAAACCCCGCAAGCGGGCAAGCGAAAGAGGCCAAGGACGAGCCGCAAGAGCAAGGAAGAGCAGGGACGCAAGGGTACCCTGAGCAAAGTTGCGCGGCCTTATTGGGGTTTTTGACTGTATCTGTCCACTGGCAGGTTCTCCAGCACTGGAGGCCTGGAGGCGGGCACCGAACACGGGGCGGTGCCTCCACCGGGGGGGGATGTGGTCCTAGATTCCGGCGTGGATGGTGCTAGCTCGGCCGCCCTGGGAGCCAGAATAGTACCCTCCTCCTCCTCCTCCTCCTCCTCCTCCCTCTCCTCCTCCTCCTCCTCCTCCTCCTCCTCCTCCTCCTCCTCCTCACCACCACCACCACCACCGCCACCACCACCACCACCACCACCACCACCACCACCACCGAGATCGGGATCTTTTTACCTAACGGCGAAGACTGATAGGTTTCTAGTGGTGTCGAAAGAGAGCATCTTGACTCCCCAAGGGGGTCTGGGCGGGTGCCGGGGAAAACCGCGGGCGGGCGTTTCGCCTGAGATTTCCTTACATTTTACGCTGGAATCGTGCTCTCGCCTAGGCCCCGACCACACTTTGCTTCAGAATCGCGCTCTCGCCTGAGCCTTCCTTACATTTAATGCTGGAATCGTGCTCTCGCCTAGGCCCCGGCCACATTTTGCTTCAGAATCGCAGTAGGCTGATGCTGAGGCAGGCTGAGGCTGAGGCTGAGGCTGATGCAGGCTGAGGCTGAGGCAGGCTGAGGCCGCAGGACTGTGCGGGAGCGCAGCAGGCTGAGGCTGAGGCAGGCTGAGGCTGAGGCTGAGGCTGAAGCTAAGGCTGAGGCTGAGGCTGAGGCAGGCTGAGGCTGAGGCAGGCTGAGGCCGCAGGACTATGCGGGAGCGCAGCAGGCTGAGGCTGAGGCAGGCTGAGGCTGAGGCTGAGGCTGATGCAGGCTGAGGCTGAGGCAGGCTGAGGCCGCAGGACTATGCGGGAGCGCAGCAGGCTGAGGCTGAGGCAGGCTGAGGCTGAGGCTGATGCAGGCTGAGGCTGAGGCAGGCTGAGGCCGCAGGACTGAGGCGGGCTGAGGCCAGCAGGACTGTGCGGGAGCGCAGCAGGCTGAGGCTGAGGCAGGCTGAGGCTGAGGCTGAGGCTGAAGCTAAGGCTGAGGCTGAGGCTGAGGCAGGCTGAGGCTAATGCAGGCTGAGGCTGAGGCTGATGCATGAGGCCGCAGGACTATGCGGGAGCGCAGCAGGCTGAGGCTGAGGCTGAGGCTGATGCAGGCTGAGGCTGAGGCTCAGGCCGCAGGCTGAGGCTGAGGCAGGCTGAGGCCGCAGGACTATGCGGGACCGCAGCAGGCTGAGTGAGGCAGGCTGAGGCCGAGGCTGAGGCTGATGCAGGCTGAGGCTGAGGCAGGCTGAGGCCGCAGGATTATGCGGGAGCACAGCAGGCTGAGGCTGATGCAGGCTGAGGCTGAGGCTGAGGCTGAGGCTGATGCAGGCTGAGGCTGAGGCAGGCTGAGGCCGCAGGACTATGCGGGAGCGCAGCAGGCTGAGGCTGAGGCAGGCTGAGGCCGAGGCTGGGGCTGAGGCTGAGGCTGAGGCTGAGGCAGGCTGAGGCCGCAGGACTATGCGGGAGCGCAGCAAGCTGAGGCTGAGGCAGGCTGAGGCTGAGGCTGAGGCTGATGGCTGAGGCTGAGGCAGGCTGAGGCCGCATGACTATGCGGGAGCGCAGCAGGCTGAGGCCGAGGGAGGCTGAGGCTGAGGCTGAGGCTGAGGCTGAGGCAGGCTGAGGCTGAGGCAGGCTGAGGCTGAGGCTGCAGGACTATGCGGAAGCGCAGCAGGCTGAGGCTGAGGCAGGCTGGGGCTGAGGCTGAGGCTGAGGCAGGCTGAGGCTGAGGCTGAGGCTGAGGCTGAGGCAGGCTGAGCTGAGGCAGGCTGAGGCTGAGGCTGAGGCTGATGCAGGCTGAGGCTGAGGCAGGAGGCTGAGGAGGATGAGGCTGAGGCTGAAGCAGGCTGAGGCTGAGGCTGAGGCTGAGGCTGAGGCTGAGGCTGAGGCTGAGGCTGAGCAGGCTGAGGCTGAGGCAGGCTGAGGCTGAGGCGCTGAGGCAGCTGAGGCTGAGGCTGAAGCAGGCTGAGGCTGAGGCTGAGGCAGGCTGAGGCTGAGGCTGAGGCTGAGGCTGAGGCAGGCTGAGGCTATGCGGGAGCGCAGCAGGCTGAGCTGAGGCAGGCTGAGGCTGAGGCTGAGGCTGATGCAGGCTGAGGCTGAGGCAGGCTGAGGCTGAGGCCGAGGCTGAAGGCAGACTGAGGCTGAGGCTGAAGCAGGCTGAGGCTGAGGCTGAGGCTGAGGCAGGCTGAGGCTGAGACTGAGGCAGGCTGATGCTGAGACTGAGGCAGGCTGATGCTGAGGCATGCTGAGGCTGAGGCTGTGACTGCGACTGCCGTTGCCACTGCGACTGTCATCGCGAATGCGACTGCGACTGCGAGAACAGCAGAACTCTACAACTGGATTCTCATCTGAATCTTCAGGGGAATGCTTCCAAAGATGCTTCTACACATCGCTGTTAGGTTGCTTTGCCGGGATATTCCCTCGGTGGAGGCACACCGCCGATATTGGTGCTGGTGTCAACCTCTAGGCCTGCGACATCAACAGTGAATCCTGGACGCGCTTCAAACTGCGAGGATCCGAAGCCCGTTTTGCAGAGTGACGGTGGCCCCAGCATGGCCCACGCCAGGACTTGTATTTTTTGTGGCGTTCGCGCCGCTGTGCGTTCCCAAACCAGATTCTTAGGATCGGGCGTCGTCAAACAGGGGGATCATTCTCCGGACGCCACACCGAATCCCGAACAGCAGCCGACAAAAGACATGCCCCACGGGACGGCTCCAGGATGCGCGGGGCGCACGGTGGGGGCCAGAACGGCATTGTGCGGTGGACCAGCGCATTGGATAAGGAACCCTTGGGTAACGAATCCAGGGTCTGAAAGCAGGTGGAACGCCAATTAAGGCTTGGGCCATGGATATCACCTCACCGCCACCCTCGTTAGATGAAGAATCCTCCATTGGAGGATTCTTCATCTAATGAGGCCTCGCTTTTTCGGCCTCCTGGTCGCGGACAACAGCGACGACGACGAATTCCTGGGAAACCCTTGAGATTCTCTGGGAACCATGGAAGATTCCTTGAGACATGCGGGGAAAACGGCGTGACGTGATCCAGGGGGGGGGGGGAGGGGCGGACGCAATCACGAGCGCTATCGCCCAGACTACAAAAAAAAGGCTCCAAGGTCTGGGGCCTCCCAGGCGCATTCCTTGACGGACGTTCCCGCCGCGGTACCCGTGGAGCTGTGCCGATGTCACGGGGCGGCGTCGCGGGACGGTGGCGCGGTGTCCTGTGGTGTCACGTGGTGCGGTGGAGCGGTGAAGCGTCGGGTGGCGTGGCAGAAACGACGACGACGACGACGACGATAAAGACGATGCGGGAGTGATATGAGCGGCCAAGGGACAAAGGGGCCCCCCACGTGCGAGAACATGGCGGGTGAGAAGCGTGTCGGGGCCCCGGACCAAAGAATCCTGGGCGCTCTTGGGCCCTTCCCGTGCTCAGGAAAGGACTTCTCGCAAGGCCCTGGACGCCTGATGAAGTCCGCACTTCCTATGCGCCGAGAGATGACGCTGGACGCAAGAGGCCGTCATGCTTGATTGATGTCTCTTCTCTCTGACCGAATCCCGCGTCTGAGCACCTCTGACCAAGGTGTCAAAGACGACGGTGTGGGGTTAGCTCCACGGGTGCGGGAACGCAACGCGCGCTCTCGGAGAAATGACAGGGCACGGGGGCTTGAATTCGGTGCACCTGAGCTGGCGAAAGGCGAGCACTTTCATGGAATAACTGTGGAAAAGGATGATAGTAAGAATCGTCCAAGGCCCTGCGTACAATACCTTGACCTGTCTGATAATCGCGTTGGGGGCTGGCTGGACGAAACTCAGTCTCATGGGACAAAAATAACCCGCACAGATTGCCTTCCTCTGCTGTGCAGCGCTAGTCCTGCGCATGAAAATGAAAAAGGTTGAAAACTGGTACAAAGAAGCACCTCGCGAGATGGCTAATCGCCTTTGCGTGTGCATAAACAACTTCGACATCTGATACAGGAGCGAAACCGATGGCGCGAGCATTTGGCCATGACGAAAGGTCGCATTCGACGGCCGCTCATAGGTCCGTGTCCATAAGTAAACCAAGCGTCATGGTCTCTGCTTTGAATTAAGAGATCGCTCTTCCGCAGCGGGTGGACTGATCCCCGCAGCCGACGAGAGAGCCAGAGCAATGGCGCCCGCGCGCCCGTAGTGGAGCGCCACACGTTGGTAATTAACGCAGCCAACGAGGTAATCACCGTGCCACCCCATTTGAGCGACAACCAAAACGGGAGTCTTACGCGAGGATGGCGTGGCGACCTTGCGCGGCTGCTTGCGCGGGCCGCCAGCGCGGCACGCCACCTCGGAAGCGAGGGCGCTGGCGCCCGACCCGACGCGGGCAGCTCCCGCGCCAATGCCGGCGCAGACGACCCACGCCCTCTTGCGCCGCCCGCCTGCCGCCCGCGGCACCGCGCCGCCGCACGGGCACGGGGGCGCCATACTTCACTGGCGGCGGCGACCACCGCGGCGCGGTCGGCCAACCTGCGCCGTCCGGCGCTCGCCACCTGCGGCGGCGCCCTCCACCACTGCGGTGACAGACCGCGCGGTGACCTCGACACCCCCCGAGGCCTCACCGCACGGTCCGCCGACGCTCGGCTCCCCGGGCCCTCGGGTGCCCCCGTCGCCCGACGGCCTCCGTCGGGGAACGGACCTCGGGCCCCCGAGACCCTGCGGCGACCCCGGAGATCCCCGCCGACTCACCACGCGGCGTGGTCACCACCCCGCTCGGGGACCCCCGAGGGACCTCTCGGGCCCGCGGGCTCAGGCCGCGGCCGTGGCCCTGGTGCTGGAGCTCGCGGCGCACGGGGTCGCCGCCTTCCCGCCGCCGCCCGCGCGGCCGGGCCGCGCCCGCGGGCTGTATAGGGGGCCGCACGCGAGCCCTACCCCTACCCCCCCACGAGTTCGAAGGGGGAGGGTGGGGCTCCCTCCACTCGGGAGCTCCCGAGCGAAGTGAACCCCGCCCTCCCCCGCGGAGATCGTGGGGGGCAGGGGCAGGGCTCGCATGTGGCCCCCTAGGCTGGCCAGGGTGAGGCCCGGGAACAGCAGCGACTCCGTGGCGGGGCCGCGCCCCTGCAGGCGCCGCGCGAGGCCGCGGCCCCGCGGCGGCGGCGCCGTGGCGCGGGCCGCCCTCGGCGGCGGGTGGCCCTGGCGGCACGGCGGCACCTCGCAGGCAGTGGCGGAGCGTCCGTGGCGTGCCTGCAGGCCCACCAGGCAGGTGTTTGGAGGGGCCCTGGGACACACAAAGAAATGCACACAAACAAAAAGATCCCCCATATTTTCCCACATTTCCTGGGTCTTTGTCGCCCCCCTCCCACTTCCCATATGTTCCCATATTTTTCTGGGAACCGACGATCAATTGTGTTTGTGTGTTTTCTTCCCTCCTGATCTGTGGTTCCCACGAAGAGCCAAAATGCTCTTAGAACGCTTCTGGCTGGGACCGTCTTGTTCTAACCCAGGACCGACCACAACGCTGTTTGAAAAGCGCGTTGGCGCCTAACGAAGGACCGACCACCACGATGTTCCAAACGGAGCAACACCGAAAGCGAAAACGAAAAACAAAACGAAGGAAAAAACCAAGCTACACAGCGTTGTGGTCGGTCCTTGGTTTTAACACAATGGGTTTATGTTCCAAGAACATTGTTGTTATTTGTTGAACGTTTTGGGGCTCTGAGAACATCTCGTCACAGGCCTATGGGCATGCCGGGACGGTCGGCCCCTGCTCAAGCCTCGGGCTCGCCGGCGCCGGCGCGGTCCACGGCCACCGCGGCGAGGTCCAGGGCGGGGACGCGAGGCTCGGGGTTCCAGGGCACCAGCGCCAGCGCCAGCACGGAGCCCGCCTCGGATGGGCCTGTTTTCCCCCACCACCACCATGAGTTGGAGGGGGGAGGGAGGAGGGGGAGGAGGAGGAAGGAGGAGGAGGAGGAGGGAGAGGAGGAGGAGAGGAGGAGGAGGAGGAGGAGGAGGAGGAGGAGGAGGAGGAGGAGGAGGAGGAGGAGGAGGAGGGGAGGACAGGATCCAACTTATGGTGGTGGTGGTGGAAAACACGCCCATCAGCCTCGGCAGCGGCGGGGGGGCCCGTGCCCACAGTCTCCATCATCCGTCCCATCCACCCAACCGGTGTGGATGAGGCCACTGATTTTTGATGTATTTCAAGAGTTGTTTGGAGTTGTTGTGGGTTTCGGTGAGTTTCCCGAGATATTATATAGCAGTTATTTGATATTGCCACAATATTGTCACAGGGCCATCATAGTTCGATGTTTTTGTGGTAAAAGTCTTCGTCCTTTCTCTTTCTCCTCCTTCCCCTCTCCCTTCTTCAGCTCCTCCTCCTGTTTCCTCCTCCGCCTCCTCATTGGCCGTGTCCTTCATTCCCATGCCGCTCTCAAGCGTAGCGCGTCGGCACGCGGCCCCAATCAGTGCGCAAAAGCCAGCAAGACTTACCTTCGGAATGCAACTGCCTTGGGGGAGGAGGATTTGGGGGAGGAGCAAAAGGAGGAGGATTTGGGGGAGGAGCAGAAGGAGGAGGACGACGAGGAGGAAGAAGAAGGATATTGAAGGAGAGGAGGAAGAGGAAGGGGAGGAGGAGGAGGAGGAGGAGGAGGAGGACGAGGACGAGGAGGAGGAGGAGGAGGAGCTGCAGGGGGGAAGGAGCAAGGGAGAAGGGGGGGAGGGAAGAGGAGGATGGATGAAGAGGGACAAGGCAGAGGAAGGATGAGGAAGAGCGGGCGGAGGATGACCAAGAGCAGGAGGAACTCCGACCGCTCGAGGGAAACGAAAAGAGGATGAAGAGGACGAAAAATGCAAGGAGGGCGCAGAGGAAGGATAGTACGGGAGGAAGGCAAGGACGATCGTGAGTAGAACGACTAGAGAAGGAGAAGGAGGAGGAGAAAAAGGAGGAGAACGAGTAGGAGGAACAGAAGAAGGCCACGTTAGAACCGTTAGAGGAGGAGTAAGAGGAAGAGGAAGAGGAAGAGGATGAAGAAAATGGAGGACGGACGGGGCACTGAATGTTTATGTTGTAGTTTGGTGCCAAACCAGCGTGGGCCCCTCAGAGAGCCTAGCGTGGGCCCCTCGAAATCCGCGACCCCCGAGGCCATCGAGCTTGTCGACGCAGCTCAGGCATGCAATTTTCGGTGGAATCGCTCATCGTCGTCGTTGGCGTCGTCGGCGTCCCTCGTCTCCTCCTGCTCCTCGTCCATCTCCTCTTCGTCTTTCTCTCTTCTTCGTCCCGCACTCAGCCTGCCACCGTCCTCGCCCTCCTCCTCCTCCTCCTGCCCCTCCTCCTCTCCCTCCTCCTCCTCCCCCTCCTCCTCTTCCTCCTCCTCCTTCTCCTTCTAGCTGTCTGCAGGACCTCATGCAAACGCGAAGCGCTCGTAATGCAGGAATGCGTATTTATCTTAGTTTTGCGCACCTGCGCGCCAGTCCAATGATTGTTACGCGAGAGCAGCGGCTCGCACAAGACACGATGTGAAACACAAGGTGGGCGTGAAACAACAGCGGCTAGAGGGAGAGCAGGAACTCGTACACCCATTTTGTCAACCATGTCTCTGTGAACTTTGGGCGGTAAAGGGCGAAGGCCCTGACTTTTGCACTATAGTTCTCTGACTCGTCGGCAAAATTTGCAGAGCACCCTGGGTTGCCAGCCCACCGTGCCTGCTGGCACATGTGGCGACCGAAAACGTGCCACTTCATAGCAACGGGGCCGTCGATGCCGACCCACTCACGGACGCACGAATCCGTCAGCTCACCGAGCCTGGTAAGCGCATCGGGGGACATAGAACGGGGTTCTGACTTGCAGAGGTTGATGTACCCACACATCGCACTGCCGCACCGTAACAAACCTGAGCCCAGCCCCGCGGTTGACCGATCGATGAGAGCGGCACCGCCCTTCTCGTCTAACAGGTGTACAAAGAACGGTAGTAGATACCGCGTCCTGGCAGCCTTCAAAGTGATTTTGGGGTTGTCGGACGATATGTCAACCATAGTCGTTGATATGTTAGTCACACGAACATCAGTTGGAATGCGGTTCTGTGCGTAATGCAAATCAAGGGCCTGTTGCAGCTCAACATCTGCACTGTCTGGTTCGACTTCGTTCCAGAAGCCGAAGAATCTTGCACGCAAAAGCTCAATCAACGTGCGGGCGATGAAATACTGCGCGATCCCCAACTCCACAACGTGCATAGAGTCGTAGAGGAAATGCTGTGACGTGAGCCCCTTGATGCCGACATGGCCAGGCAAGTCCATGAGTCGGTTGAGAAACAGCGTTCCGTTGACAGGGCGACGGTAAAAGAAGCATCTCCGCTTTGTTGGTGGGGCATCGCAGAGCCGATCCCCATGTAGGAAATCGGGGTCACCGATGAAGGTTGGCTCCAACCGATCTCCTCGTCGCGCCTGTGGCAGCTCGTCTAGATGACGCTTCAGCGTAAGGCCACCCTTCGCGCGCCGCGAAGATAGGTTGTCCAGCAGGCTCGGCACTTCAGCGTCGCTGAGCTGCACCTCGAACAAGCAAGTCCTCGCCAGGTCGCAATACCACTGGTGGGACCGAGGCGCAGCTGGTGCGTCTTGATCGTGGAGGCGGTCCCTGTGCAGAAAACACTGCAGGCACCCGTGCCTGGCACGGTGGTGGGGCATCCCCAGCGTCTTCGGAAATTCGTCGAGGTCCGCGCAGACCTCGACGCAGACCGCTCTGATCAATTCGCCAGTGCTGCTCTTATCAAACAAGGGCGTGTTTGCAACGAGGGCCCTTCTAGAGCCCGCAGGCCAAGGATTGCCCAAGGCGTCCTTGGATGGATGCAGCCCACTCGCCGACACATTGAAAACCCACGCAATCGTTTCAAGCAGGGGCTGAATTGTGTGAGCACCCCTGCATCCGCACTTGCAAAAAAGGCTCGATGGGTATGAGCCAAAAGGGATCCGCTGCTTTTGGCCGATAGCTGACGCAAAGATCCGCACTCCAAGGTGGCGGCCTTGGACTCGCGTCGGCGGCTGAGGTCGGCTGACCCGTCCCTTTCAGTGACGCACGTTTCCTCTTAGTTTTGTGACAGCGAATATTAAAAATCCTTGCCCTACTACTCTTTCCCCCTAACTATCCTCGTATCATTTTCCCTCCACATCGTCATCCCCTTGCCCATTTTCCCCATATCCTAAGATGAGGTTATTGTTATTACTTGGACGCCTCCTACTCCTTTTTCTCACTCTTCTCCTTCTCCTCCTCCTCATACCCAGACTTACTCACACTCATATTTACTCATACCCAGATTTACTAAGACGCAAACTTACTCCGCTTCATACCTACTCGTACTCAGACCTACTCCTACTCAGCGTTACTCATGCTGAGACCCACGCATGCCCAGACTAACTAATACTCAAACTTGTTCCCAGACTTACTCATACTCAGATCTGATCGTACCCAGACCTTTCCATTGTCTTGTTTATTGCACGCACGCAGCGGATTGTGAGGATGTCTCAGGCGGGGCGTTGGTTTCAGCCCCTTTTCAGGGGAGCCGCCATGTGTATTTCCACGGTCCCGTTCGCAGCAAGTGTGTGGGGATATCTCCTGCGGTTTGCTTGTGTCCTGTCCCAACCTTAGCGGTTACCCGAGCAGATTGTGATATTGTCTCAGGCGGGGCGCTGGCTTCAGCATCCCTACGGGGGGACGCCAGGGGTGCTTTCGCGGTCCCGTTCGCAGCAACGTTGTGGGGATGTCTCCCGCGGTTTGTTTGCTTCTTGTCCCAACAGTTTTGGCTATCCGAGCAGATTGTGAGGATGTCTCAGGCGGGGCGCTGGCTTCAGCATCTCTAAAGGGAGCCGTCAGTGGTGGTTTCACAGTCCCGTTCGCGGCCGTGGTGTGGGGATGTCTCAAGCGGTGTGCTTGTGTTCTGTACCAACGTCCTTCGCTGTCGGAACAGATTTGGAGGATGTCTCGAGCGAGGCGCTCATGTTCACCCCCCCCAGGTGGGCCAGGCATAGTTTGAGGACGTCTCGATCGGTTTGCATGTTTTGGTGGCCAGGCTAGTGGGTCCCAGGAGACATCAGGAGGCCACAGAAAGACTCAAGACGCCACAGGATGTCCCAAGAGGCTCCAGGAGGCCCCAGGAAGCCCCAGAAGGCCTCAGGAAGCCACATGAGGCCCCAGGAGGCCACAGGAAGCGCCAGGAGGCCTCGGAAGGCAACAGGAGGCCCCGAGAGGCCCCAGGGGCAGGAGGCCTCAGAAGGCAACAGGATTGGCTTCAATCCCATGTGTTTTACTGATGCTCCTAGCGATTGGGCCTCACGTGGAGCACGAGTCCTTGATGGTACACGTATGTTTATATAGTTTGTCATTCTCTTGTGTGCACAATCCTACATGTGTTACTTATGCTCCTATATGTTGGGCCTCTCTTGGGACACGAATCCTTGGTGGTTTACGTGTGTTCCTATATATTGTCCTTCTCTTGCGGCTCTAATCCGCAGTGCTTTATGTACGTATGTTGCTATATACTAGGCCTCTCCTGGGGCGCGAAACCTCCCCAGGAGGCCCCAGGAGGCCCCAAGAGGCCCCGGGAGACCCCAGGAAGCCCCAGTAGGTTTCAGGAGGCCCCAGGAGGCCCCAGGCTCATTCACATTCCAATTCATTCGCAGTTGGATTCATGCCAAGACCGTCACAACTGAAGCGTGTATATATTCAAAAGCTCTTGCGCCTAGACATTCACTGCGGACAGGTCCAGGCGAATTGATGCACATATGGGGTTCCACGCAGTGAGTAGTTGTTTAGGATCGGCGGCAGGTGCCAGAAGGCATATGTATGTTTAGCGCAGACGCGTGCCCGTCAATGCGAGCGCCATCAAGAAACAGCCGAAGA